GGAAAGTTAAAACCAAAGAACTTACGTTGGGTGTAGAGATTCAAGAAGAATCGAGTGTGAGAATTGGAATTGACACGGATTGTTGAGCGGCGCCGCTGCAGAGTTACCACCATCGATTGTGAGTCGATTTCAGCACTGGAGTAGAAGCCGAAGTTGATAAGCACGAAGGATACATGAAATTTGAGGGGAAGGAGGTGAGACGACGAGGATATTGTATTCTCTGAGACCTTTCAATTTTGAGGAATGAATGAAGATAAGTGAAAAGAAAGATGTGGAGGACAATTACACACGATTTGCAACTTTACATCTAATGATTATTTTTTTAATTTTTTTTCTGCAGGTTTCACCGGTTGAAGCAAGGGACAAAACTGTATTAATATAGAAAACTAATGGTGTGAGTGGATCTGTTAGGGTTTTTGGCTAATTTGCCAATTAACTTTTTTTCTCTTGCTATATAGCCCAATTTCCCTTAATTTTTTTACGTATTGCTTCATAACATTATTGTTTTTAAATAAGGGGTTTGATATTTGTAACTAACCTAGAAGGTTGTTCTCAAGTCTTATTTGATCTTTAACATGGCCGAAATACAAAACTTTAAATCCAAGTAAGCATACTAGGTTAAGAATTGCATATGTATGTATTGGTCAGCTCACAACTAATTAGAATTGACGCTAAATTCTATATTCTTGTGTTTGTATGGCCACAAGCTTCCTATCAGAGTATAATGAATTTAGGCTTGGAGAGTTGATCAAGCTTTAAGACTTTTGTTTGCTTTATACCATATGTTCATTTTACCTAAGAAGTTTCATTTTACTTAAAGAACTAGAATAAGACATGCGTCTTACACAGGGTAAATGTATGTAACTAAAATATAAAATTTTAGTATTGACAAATTTACAATTTACATATGATTGTTTTTGTATGTATTTAGAATTTTGGAATCTTTATATAAATATCTATATGTAGGATCAGAAACAATTGTAATTAGAACTGTAGATCAAAACTTGGAATTTAACGGATCTGGTTCATATTTTTTTCACTTTTCACTGTTTGAGTGATGAAAAATAAACGGAGCTTCACAAAACTTAATTCATAGAGCAATATAAGTTCCTTAATACTTTCTTAAGAAACAGTTGATAGAATATTTGCATTTAGAATATATAAATTTGGTTATTTTGAAATTTAGAGCACTCCCATTAAAGAGTCAAGAGCAAAGCTCTCACAAATCCCGAAACAAAAAATATTATAAAATTGGTGACTGATGAATTCGTCTTCCCAGAATATATTATAAAATTGGTGGCTGATGAATTCGTCTTGCCAGAATGCGTCCGGATGAACTCGTTTCGTCAATGTTTCACGGGTTTCATCAATGTTTGAGCATATCGTGATGAATTATTGTGGTTACCTAAACTTACTTATTTCGAACCTAAGTTTGAAACTTATTAGCTACTTAAGTTTCAGCAAATCATGATGAATTATTATGGTTACTTGACAAACAAGTCAAAAGAGAATTTCAAAGTGGTTTAGCATAACAAAGCAATCCCAGAAACAATGATAAGAATATTTGGTATACTAGTGTCTTAGAAGTAAGTCGATAAAACTTGGCAAAATCCCAGAAAATGAAAATTAAATCCTCAGACCAGATAGTAGAGAAGCAATAAACAAAAATAAAAGACAAAAGGTTCCAAAAGACCCTTCTCACACGACTTGGTAGTCCTGTGCAATCAACTGCGTCCTCTGCACAAACCTTGGAGTCGCACCACCATCCCCTCTCAGGGGAATCATTCCTGTCACCTGCACCACCGTTATGATGAACACACCTCTCATTGTAGTCATAACTCAGAGATGAAATATTTAGAAATTTTCAAGAAAACAAGATCCTCATACCTTCAAGCCACTGTATGTAGTGGTGGCTGCAAACTGAACAGAAATGGGGAAGAACACCGATGAATCAACTGGTGGTACCACAAACTCCATTGACCCACTGCACATGTTTTGTCATGTATCATGCATACATCTTGACAAAAATAAAACTCTTAAGCAGTAGATGTTGTCATCATTTATTTACCTGCGGTTCGAGTTGTCTATAAGAAGAATAGACCACTCCAGAACTGAATTCCTGGAGTCGTACCTGATATTATTCACCAAAGGTATAGTTGGTTCTTATGATTTGTATAAAACAATTATGGGAGGAAAATCAAGTCAACTGTTTCACAAACCTCCAGTCCCCATCACATTGTTTAACCATTGGTGCATCTCTCAAAGCAGGAAGAGGTACGGAGATTATAACATTTGTTAGATCAAACATGGACGAGGCTTCATACTCGATGCTGACGTAAGTCTCGTTTCCAGAGACCGAAGGCCAGCAGTTGACTGCACAAGAACAAACGATTTGCATGAAATATTTAATCTATAATCCTGTCAAGTACAGACAGAGCAAATATCCAAAGCCTTACTTGTTAGTGGCACCATGGACTCGTCTGCTCTTTGCATTCTCCACCTTAGAAGACCAACACCATCGCCACCTTGACCAGTGGGAAATGGCTGATCAGGTCTCTTCAGCCCTAGAATACTCTCGCTATTAAAGAGTTCTCTGTTGATGTTGGGATGGGTCTTGAAAAGAATCTCAGGGTTTCCACCGGTTTCAACCTGTGATGTATTCAAGAAAACTGTAAAATGTCTGGGTGACTCTAAGAAATTGTTAAATAAAAAGGTAGGAGTACCTGAACTTGGACGAATCCATCATCTTGGTTAAGAATCTGAAGGGACAGGGTTCCCTGCATATCAAAGCTACTGATTCCACCATCTCGTCTCAAAGCGACATTGAGCTTCTCCTCCACAGTTAATGTGAAAGGATCAGTTGGAGGTAACACAGCTGCTCTGGTCTGGCTAGTAGGCTTGACATCTTCAATGATATCTTCGCCTTCTGCTTTAAGGGACTCCATTAACTGGTTCTTTCCGGACTTGCCAAGTTTCATGCCAGAACTCTTAGGAGGAGCAGTAACAGAAGACCGTGATCGATCTGTGAGGTTAAGCATGGTGAAAAAAAATGATCACAGAGCAGAAAGAATTCATTCTTTAATAAAGTATCCGCTGACCAAAGCACACTAACCTTTGGCCTTGGTACTGATAGGCTCAACATCTGAAATCATGCCAAGCATAGAACCACTTCCAAAACTACTGCCACGACCATGAGATATGCTCAAGTCATTGAATCCACCAGATCCCAATGAACTCATAGACGAAAACCCTCTATCACTTTTAGTCTTTTCAATCTGGATATTTGCATATGAAATATTAAAAGGAGTTACAGAGACAACACAAGAAGCAGGGTGCGTTCCTGTCATGTACCTTGCTTTTGTCAATCTCATTAGCCTTACGCTTCATCACGTCTTTAGTGTCATTGATCTTGCTCTGCATAACCAGTTTATGCAACTTCTCCTCGTGACTTTCCATTTCACAGTACTGCTTCACCTGCGCAACCGTCACACTTTCCTTGTGCCCAAGAGATATGACTTCATCGAAAGCAAATATCAGCTCAAAGGCAGCCCTGTTAATCCCTTCTTCATCTAAAGACATGGAATACTCAGGTACCTAGAACAACAGTCAAATGATCAAAAGTAAATTTCAACCCTATGTCATATGAAAACATAAAAGAAGAAAGAAGAGCATACAAGTTTGGAGAGCATCCTGAGGGTGTCGAGATCTTCTAGAATGTTACTCTGCTTAGTAGTAACAAGAAGCAGGAAGAGAACTTCAATAGGCTGATATACATATCGCACATTATCTGTCTCAATATAGGTATGCTGTTTGCCCATGCCAACAAGCTTAGGGAAAGCTGCAAGGAGACCTTCGATTCTGATACGAGACATGTCCACATATTGCCTGGAAACAAGCACTACAAAAAAAAAAAGAAAACAAATTTGAAAAAAAATGAGAATTAGTGGAAAATAATCTTTGATTATCAATGACATATGTAATACACGAAGCGTTCACCTTTTCCAGACTTGCCCACAATGGAAGCAGCTAGCACGACCTGTATAAACCCCCAAGTGACAACGTTAGCAATGTGCCAGTCAGTAATCTAAACGTAACAAAAACTGTATAATATTCACAAAATTATAAAAATAGAAATCGATACCATTTTGATTTGCTTTACAGATTCCGACAATCAACGTAAATCTGAAATACAAAAGAACAAACGGTTAAGTAAAATCCAAATAGTGTTGTAACAAGTTAGAATCAACCACAAGATCAAAATAACAAACGCGATTTTTGATCGTTGAATTCGTAAATTTACGTCCAACTGAAGAGATCTAGCATTTGGTATACGAACAAATCCAAAAAAGAAACGAAATCGAAGCAGATCACCAATGAATCAAACGGATCGGATCTCTAAGCATTAGATTCATATAACTGTAGAATCAGAATCAAAATCAAAACAAGCAAGATCGATCGAGAAAATCTAGAAGAAGGAGAAAGTTCCTGAAATGGAAAAATTGATAGAAATGCAGGTAGAAAGAACATTCATAGAGAGTAGATCCAAAAACATGAGCAGAGATGATCACGAAGACGTTACCAGGGACTGATCAAACGAGATGATGAATTCACCACTTCTTCAGGAGAGCTCGCTGAATATAATAAAGAAAAAAAAGACGAAAGAGGGAGTTACTGTTACATGACATCTAGTATTTTCTTATTGGGCTTTTAAGCCCATCTCATCCTTAAATTCTGGTTAAGTCCGGTTTGATATGTTGAACTTGATTTTGATAAGGTAACCGCTAGGCTGCGGTTAGATTTGACGCAATGCAAATTTTGAAAAAAAGAAAAAAACATTAACGAAAAAAACGACGTGAAAAGGAATTGAGCAAACGGAGAAGACGGTGGTTCGGAGTTTTTTTTTTGAAATTGTCTTCTTCATCCTCAAATTCGATCAAGTTTTCGAATTTTCATACTGAAATTAGGGTTTTTGAATTAGGTGTGATTAACTGTGTATTCAAATGTCGACATCAACGATGTCGCTCACCGCGACTCCCGCTAAGCGTTCGCCGCTTCTCGCCGGAGAGAAGAAATCTAACATCGATTTCCCGCCGAGCGAATCTCTTGCGAACGGCAGAGATCCGATCCGCGCCGAGGCCGTCGTCGATCGATCTCAAAGCCAAGAGTTAGGTCCCGTAACGAGGAGATCTGTTTCCGCCGCGACGGGAACAACAACGACAACAAACACAACCGCCACGCAGCGGCGGACGCGGAAGGTAGCGACGCCAAAGACGGAGAAAGCGCGGTGGAAGAGAGTGGTGAGGATATTCGCTAAGCAGCTTATTGCTCTTCTGATCATCGTTGGATTGATTCAGGTGACGAGGAAAGTGATTCTGAAAGTGACTTCTTCTTCTTCGTCCTTTGAAACGACGGCGTTTTCGGGGTTGGAGAGGAGAATTGCGGAAGTGGATGGACTTGTAAAGGCCACGACGAGTAAAATGCAGGTTCAAGTTGAGTTACTTGATAAGAAGATGGAAAAGGAAGCGAAAGCGTTGAGGCAAGAGCTTGAGAAGAAAGCCTCGACGTTCCATAACGAGTTGAAGAAGATAGAGTCTAGAACCGAGTCGTTAGAGAAGTCAGTAGAAGAAGTAAATGCGAAACCTTTTGTGTCTAGAGATGAGTTAGACAAGATTTACGGGGAATTGAAGAAAGGTAATGTCGATGCGTTTAGCGAGGTTGGCATCGATGAGTTGAGGGCGTATGCTCGTGAGATGATGGAGAAAGAGATTGAAAAGCATGCTGCTGATGGACTTGGTAGAGTGGATTACGCGTTGGCTTCTGGTGGTGGGTTTGTGATGAAGCATTCAGATCCGTTTCTTGTTGGGAAAGGGAGTAATTGGTTTGCGACAATTGGTGGACGTGCTCATGCCAATGCGGTTAAGATGTTGTCTCCGAGTTTTGGGGAGCCTGGTCAGTGTTTTGCGCTGAAAGGTAGTAATGGTTATGTTCAGATCAGGCTGAGAGGGCCTATTGTTCCAGAGGCTTTCACCTTGGAGCATGTAGCTAAGGTAATGATACTTGCAGTGCTAAAGATTTGTATTTTAGTTTCAGCTTTCTTCTTGTTTCCTCGTAAGTTCTCTGGTGCTTGCATTTTTTGAAGATTGTGGCTTAAAATGATGGGATTTTCGTTGCTTTCTTTAAGATTTGGTTGAAAATTTATGAGATAGTTTGGTTTAGCCTCGGCTATAGTTAACGTCAGTAGTAGCTGCAAATATCTGCACTGTGGTAGCAACCTGGAGGTTTGTTGATAAGTTTATGTATCCATCATCTAGTAGGTTTCATCATAGTTCGCTAGTTCTCTGCGTGCCACTTACCTTTAGGAGGTTCTTCACATTATGTATTCGGAATTCATTTCTCAGTGCCACTCTATATAAGTATCAAAAATCTGTGTCAAAGAGTTCTACAGTATGCATGTGGGTCTCTTGATGTTTTGTGTCTTTTCTGGTTCTATTTGCGATTACCAGGACTATGCTATTTGTAGTTTGGGGTTGTTTCAGTAGCAGAAACAGAGTGAAATGACAACAATAAAAAAAAAAAAGTTGAATAACCGCATTTGCTCTTTTCACTGTTCAAAAAGTCAAACTTTGATCATTGTGGGTCTACTTTTAGAGAGTAGTATATACACTGACATGATGAATTCATGCATTGTTGAATTTGAACAGAACGTGGCATACGACAGATCGAGTGCTCCAAAAGATTGTCTCGTATCAGGATGGCTGCAAGGAATAGGACAGGAACTCTCAGACGAGACAGGGAAGATGCAACTTCTAACAGAGTTCACTTACGACTTAGACAGGTCGAACGCACAGACATTCAACGTTTTAGACTCACCAGACTCTGGTCTTATCGATACTGTCAGGCTAGACTTCACCTCCAACCATGGAAGCAACTCTCACACTTGCATCTATAGGTTCAGAGTTCATGGGCGTGCACCAGACCCAGTCTCTGTTATGGAAACCCAGTCTTGATCAGGACATTTCACCTGGAACTGAAAAAATCATCTTGTCTTTTCTTTAATCCACATCTCTTTTGTTGCCTGTTTATTGAATAGAAAAAAAAAGCATCAGATTCTTGTGAAAAAAAAGAAAACAGTAGAGAACTGTATGGTTTACAGCTACCTTTTAGTTTGTTTGGTTTACTGTCTTTGTGATATCCAGTTGATTTTGTTTAATCCATAAAACGCATCTTACCTGCCATATATTTTGGATATGATATCTTCAAAGAATATCACACCAACTTGCCTATGCAGTAAACGCCATTATTCAAAAAAAAAAATCATATCAAATCTGCCAACTAGTTTCTGTACTTGTCTCGATAAAGAAACTAAGCCAAACTGATTGGAGAGCTCAAAGCTCTCGATATATACAATTTATACATTCACAACGCATTAAAAACGTTACTTTCTAATTGAAATAATCAAAGTTCGGTCAAAGAGGATTGGTTATAAACAAAAAGTTCGGTCAAAAGACGCATCACAAGGACTCATGTATAATGTAATCTAAGCCTATACACCATCCAAGATAAGAAAAAGGCAAATAAACAGGGAGGGGCATATAAGTATCAAGGAAAGGGAACATTGTTCTTGATTTCAGACTTTTTAGAATTTATTCTTTCAAATATTTTTTTAAACCTCTTTCCTATCTTTGCTTCATAAACTGATAAAGACCTCTTCTTTTATTCTTTTAATGTAAAATATGAGGAATAAACAAAACAAAATAATGATAGTAAAGCCCCCTTTACAGTTGAACCCTTCCTCTTCTATGGTTTCTTTTTATTTATTCGCAGACCAAACCAGAAGAAGAAAGCTCCAAAGAAAATACTCTTTAAGCCTTGCAGAATAAACATGTCGGATCCACTCTATATATTTAATAATAGTATGTCACTATTTATAACTCTATATATTTATATGTGTGTGTGATTGTGCTTTGCCTATGTGTAGTTTCAGAATATCTTTTCGACTTTGTTATAATTTCTGCAGAGTCTCGATCCGAAATAGTAGTTGAATCTCAGTTATCTTCAATGCCCACTCAGCAACTCCAATCCTTGAGGTATGTGATTTGTTTATATCCATAGAAACAGAACTGCTCTGTTTTTCATTTCTAAATGTTTGGATTTTGTGATTTATTTGAAGAGTCTTTGTGGCAACATGGAACGTGGGAGGAAAGTCTCCTCACTCTGGTCTTGATCTTGATTCTTTGCTTCACGTCCACAGCGAGTTCGATATATACGTTTTAGGGTAACTTTTTTTTTTCTTGTTTTCTCTGAGTAATTGCATAGATCTATAATATGTCTTGAATTTTTTTTTTTAATATAGTTTTCAGGAGATTGTTCCATTGAATGCTGGAAATGTTCTTGTCCTTGGAGACAACGAGCCTGCTGCTAAATGGTTAGCTATGATCAACCAATCCTTGAACAAATCATCACCATCAGCATCATCCTCTGGTGGAAGACTTGGTCCCAAAACACCATCGTTTGGCGCTGGATCTATGTTCTTTGCGAAACCATCGTTGAAGAAGATCAGTGAGAGTTTCAGAACAGAGTGTAGGAGAAAGCTGAAGATATGTAACTGCAACTCCTTCACTGAAGAGATTGTGAAAAAGTATGGGAGGGAATCTTGTTTCAGATGTCCAGAATCTCTTGTTAACCAAACTGATTTACTTTGTGATGACGACGAAGAAGAAGATGATGATGAGGATGAGGATGATGATGAAGAAGATGAAGACGAGGAAGGAGGAGGGAAGGTTGCTTCTATTGTAAGCAACCAGATGATGATGAAGTATGGTCTAGTGGCATCAAAGCAAATGGTGGGAATATTCCTCACTGTGTGGATGAGAAAGGAACTTATTCAACACGTTTCTCATCTCAGAATCTCTTGTGTCACTCGTGGAATCATGGGTTGCTTAGGAAACAAGGTACAGTAACTTTTACAACTCAAGCCCTAAAAAGAAAACTCTGTTTCTGATATTCTCTTTTTCACCATCATAGGGATGCATAGCTGTGAGTTTGCAGCTCTACAAGACCAGCTTCTGCTTCATTTGTAGTCATCTAGCTTCTGGTGAGAGAGAAGGAGATGAACGTCGCAGAAACTCAGATGTTATTGAGATTCTCAAGAACACAACATTCCCTAGAATCTGCAGAACCTCTTTCACCCGTGTCCCCAATCGAATCACTAAGCATGAGTAAGATTCATGATTACATCTTGTTTTAAAAAAATTATTAGTTTTCAACTCAAAACCAATTGACAAAAAAAAGTATATGTTAATTACTGTATGATTCTTTCGCAGTCGTGTGATCTGGCTGGGAGATTTGAATTACAGAATAGCTTTAAGTTACACAGAAACGAAGTCACTCTTGGATAAAAACGCTTGGGACACTCTTCTCAACAAAGATCAGGTTTCACTTACGTTTTCTTTCCACCCAAGAAACAAAAACTTTAGGTTAATTACTAGTCAGTTAAACCGGTTTATTGGTTTTCTGAAATGTAATTACAGCTCAAGATTGAGAGAGACGCAGGAAGAGTGTTTAAAGGATGGCACGAAGGAAAAATCTTCTTCGCACCAACGTATAAGTACAATTATAACTCAGATGCTTACGCAGGAGACACTACTAAAGAGAAGAAGAACAAGAGAAGAACTCCCGCCTGGTATAATATTTAACCGGATTGATTCTATTTTAATTTTGGTTCGGTTAAGTATTAACCGGATTTTCCATACTTCCTTAGGTGCGACAGGATTCTTTGGCACGGTGATGGAATCCGGCAGCTCTCGTACGTGCGAGGGGAGTCTCGATTCTCCGATCACCGGCCAGTCTGCGCCGTGTTCGTTGTCAATGTTGAGGTTTGCGAGGGTAGAATCGGAACTAGGAGGCAATAGTTTACTTCAACTGTTGAGAGCGTGACATCCCCTTATTATTAATACAGAAGCAAAATAAAAAAATAACCTTGAGTTTGTATTTTATTTACATTAGTGCCATTTCACTAACGTGTCAGTTTGTCAGCGATTCTCAGCTTCCTTTCACCCTCACCCTCTCATAACTAGACAAATTACTAAAAATGCCATTGGACTGACTCAAATGTAATATATTGTTTACGACACATAATTTTTGAATTGTATAATCTCGGTGGACTCTACCACATGTGATTATAATCATGTTTTCCATGTCATATTGCACTAGAATTAAGTCTCGATTTCCTGCACAAAAAATTAAAATCAGTTGACTTCTCTACGACAAACAAATTATTAGAAAAATCATTATAAATTTGTATCTATCGAATCACTACTTAACGTGAATTATTTGAAATTCCTAAGAAATGTGTGCATATTTCATCAACACTAAATTTGAAATTGACACATAAATGTTTCAGCCAATTAGTTCACTTCTCTAATTATAGATTTAACTTCTAAATTATCATGTGTACAGACCAATAAAATACTAAACGGCTATAAGTTAAGGTGATCTTACACATATTGTTGCTCAAAAAAGGTGATCTTACACATATAATTGGTCAAACATATGCTATACAGTTTCTTCATCATTATTTATTATTTCTTTTGAATATTTATTACTAGCTCTTGGTCGTAGTAAAAAATGTCGTCGTGTAACTTTTTAATTATGAGCAAGAATCAATTTTAGGAAGTTTAGTTTGAAAACGTTAGATTGGTCTCGAAGAAGTTTATTTTCGTTTAAAAGGCAATTGTTAAACTTCTTTACCAAGCTCTTACTTTTTTCTACACATAATTTCCTAATATATTTTGTATAGTTATCAAATCATTTGCTTAAATATCTCTACATTAAAGCTGCATATTTCACTTTTAGGAAGTTTTGTATTAATGTGTTAGTCAAAAAAAAGTTATGTATTAATGTATTCGTTTCGTGTGCAAGGATTATCTTTTTTCGTTTAAAAGGTAATCTACCTCATCAATGCGATATTGCTAAACCTACACCTACCTCCCACCTATATATACAGTTTAGCTATCGATTAGGACTGTCTCACTTACGCCCTAGCAACCTAAAATTACATCATTCGAAAATCTTAAGGATTCATGTTTCTTTATCACTGAAAGATTCATGTTTATCTATGCTGATTTAAATTGTATAATACTAATACGATTTATTTGTTATTTATCTCAGGGTGATAAGATTCATGCAACCCCTAAGAAAGATTTGGGGTCTCTGTTGATCCATTCTTAAAAAAGGATAGACGAAGATATTAATTAATTTCTCCCTCACACACTCGGTTGAGTCATATCAATCAAAGAATCTGAAGTTAAAAAGTTTTGTTTATATCATATTTGTTAACGTTTGTTTATATAATATATGTTTTTCATGTGTAGGTGGGTTTTAAGCATGCCACTAACATTCGAGGGTGGTTCAAATTATTGTTTGACCCTGAAACTCCAGAAATACAAGCTTTAAGGTGAAGTACAAGCATAGGCATTTTTTTATTTACTATACTCTGTTTTCTTACACTACCACACCATATAAATATTTCTTTTTAAATTCAGAATTCTAAAATTGAAGGCATATATAACAAGGATTGAAGAAACATTTCAGCTTACCGTATTAAAAAAAAAAAATTTGAGTTCCACTTTAAAGTTTATGTTTTAGTGGCTTTTAGATGAATTCGTCTACATGATTTCTCTAAGTTTTAAGATCTAGAATTATTTACTTTTAGCCTCATGAGTAATTTGTATGAAAAACTAAACTAAGTATGCTTCGATCAAACCCAAACAATTACACAGAAGAGACGAATGTCTGAGGCTAACCTTTGAATAGGCAGTCGTCCATGTATTTGAAACATAAAGAGTTGTGTCCCCATAATTAAGAGATGTTCTCTGTCAAGAAAACAGAATCCACTGTGAGAATCATTTGGGTAAAACTCTTCTCATAACTATAATGAAACACATACAATAACTATTGTCAGATTAACTAATTGAATTCCTTAATAAGAAAACGCTTATACACACTGGTTAGGTTCGTAGCATAAAGGACTTATGTATAGATTTGAAAATTTACTTAGACAAAAAAAAATGAATAATACCTTCAGCAATATAGGAAGCTATTAGTTTTGCTACTCCTATACACTCAATCATGTTGCGATACACCGATAGCAATCAGTTATGCTTCAACATTCAATGATTGTTGAATTATGTGTGTCCACCACCTGGGATGACAAATTAAAAAGGAAATTGATACACAATAATTAATAAACATATCATCAAGTATTGACCCGGAAATTATGCATATCTGAAATACAGAGATCAACGATCTACGAGCTTTACCTAACGAAGTACTGTACTTTAACGACAGACAGAAATAGAAAATTTGTCGAGACGTTAAGTAACTGAAATGAGAAAGAAACTGAAATTGAAGATTACAGACAAAGAAATGAGAATCATGTGGGTAAGGATCTCAAAAGATTTGGTTTAGAGTGAACGGATTGAAATTTGTCGATGGAGCCCTAATCCCTTTTTCTCTAAGTTGTCGATGTTTAGAGATGAGCAATTTTTTTTTATGCCAATATCACATTAGGCCTAATTATTCCTTTTATTTTTACATACCAGCCGAGTATAGGCTTTTAGCTTAATAATCCATCAGCCAACTGACACTCTGGCTAAAGCCCAACTATCCCACCATGTAACCCAATTCTCTGAATCTTTTTAGCCTTCTAAATGAAAGTAATCTGTTGCACAAAAAGAAGTTTAATAACCCATCCGTTGTGAGGAACCTATTAAATTTAACATAAGTCCTGGTCCATAGGATAGTCCAACACGTCTGCTATGCAAATATAAACGTATGCGATGCCCCCTATATATTTTTTTCCTTTTTCTTGAATAATAAATCCCCATATTCTATAAGCGCATATATCTTTTTCTTAGATCATTCCATTACAGGAGGAACAAAGTCATATATGCTTATGACCGAACATCATATACTATACATATTTTTTATAATGTATTATGCAAACTATAATATGAATATGTAACATAATTAATTTTTGTTGACAGCACTCTCATCCCGCGCAAAGCGCGGGTCTTAAACTAGTCTTGATAGATATATTGTAAGCCACACACACCGTTTAATGTTATTACGATACTGTAACTAGCGGAACTTTGGAGTTGGGTAGAGAGAGTATTACAATGTGTTGTGAGGAACGTTATTCCAGCTAATGTTGGTCTACTTTGTCGATTAAGCCATGCGTTAAGAATTCTAAAAAAAAAAGATTGAAGATCAGTGATAAACTGATGATATATAGGCTAAAATTGTCAGACAAAAGAAGATGAATCAATTAGGATAATGTGTAACTTACATTAAAGCAAATCACTTATCACCTCCTATAACCTAGTTTATGTGAATCGTATTACGACAATTTTTTTTGGTTTTCACGGTTTATTAGGGTGTGGCATGATCTAACATAAATTCAACTATTTTTAAAGTGTGTGTAGGACAAATTTCTGGGAACTAGTAGCCTGTTGTATAAGATTGGATGATAAAAGATACAAGTCAAGTTAACAGTTTATTGGTAATACATGTTGAAAGCCTTAAAAGATATCATTTGCTTCTTTTTGACAAAAGTCATTTGGATCTATATATCACAAAATCTAAGGGAAAAAGGATTTTTAATTCCTCGACTGTTTTAAATTAGCACTTTTAATACTCAATTACAAGTTGAGCAGATTTATTCCTGAATTCATTATTAACTATGCAAAATTAGATTTTAATAAATCAAACATTAACTCTTCGTTAGAGGCGTTAACTCTTACTAAAAAGGTGATCATGTCTGATCTTTGAAAATCCAGAATCGCTAAAATTAACACTGAGAACGATTTGATAGAAGTAAAGGCGATTTCCAGCGAGTAGAGGTGATTTCCGTCGAGTGGAGGCTATTTCCGGTGAACATCTACAATTATTGACATTTGAGAATGAATAACATGATTTCTTGTTCAGCTACAGATAAAATTATCTCCTCTGTGAAAAGCGTATATAAATTTGGCAGAGATTGATAGACTGAATGACAAAGGTGAAATTGTATGATAGAATGGTGGAACTGAATGTGTATGAGGAGATAAGCTCGGGTAAATTGTATGATAGAATGGTGGAACCGAATGTGTATGAGGAGATAAGCTCATGTAGTTGTAGATCCGTGAATGGAGTTAAGGGATTTCCAAAGAGATGTTGTTGTGGAAGTGATGTTAGGATGTATATGTCTCAGTCGGTGGAACTGAAATTGTGTAGGGCGTCATATAAAGTACCAATGACGAGAACTTGATAAGGTTACTGTGTCTTAAGTTGAGAGAAGCTACAAGAGAACTTACTGGAGAGATATGAACTCCATCCAGTCAAATGGATTTTCTGCTTTGTATCTCCTTTCACATCCCAATGTAACCTACAGAAAAAGAAACAAGACAAATCAATGAGTTTGAAATAAAAAGCCGGTTCATGTTTCAGAATAATGTAGACAAAAGGGAGAACATTAATCCTTTTTACCAGAAGACGGTCTGTGACAAACTGTATATACTGACTCATGAGGTCTGAGTTCATTCCGATCAGATCACATGAGAGGCCCTTGCAGACAAACTCTGTCTCAATTTCCACTGCCTCATGAACAATCTGATAAACTTTCTCCACAGAAAGCTTTTTCTGCAGAAAACTGCATAAAGTATAATGAGTGAACTGATCATATAGATGCTCATTAAAACTATTAACTCAATGCAGATTGCTGTTACCATAAACATATTTTTACCTGTACAAGAGACAAGCAAAGTCACAGTGGAGACCCTCATCTCTGGAAATGCAGGGAATGGTCTCGATAGCATTAAATAATCTATCCTTCTCCTGCGAATTCTTTATAAATGTCTCTAGAAGTTGGCTATACATCTCTGAAGGTTTGCCAACAGAAAAAAAAAATTGCTCTGAATCAGTTTCGCTTGGTATACTCAAATCCGAAATACCACAATGATACCAGCTATAGAGAACCTTGCAAGATCAAAACCTAGGTCCTAGTCCTAGTCCTAGTTAAGTCTACCCGACTAAATCTAGAAAAAAAAACTTAACTCTATCAAAACTCCAGTTAGGTGTTGGTCACAACAAGTCTTATGGTTTTATGTTCATTCACCATGACATTGACTTAGGCCTTCTGAACCTTACCAATAGAACGTATCAGTGGAAGCATCCCTATGAAAAAAAAACAATCTACCTAGCTATGCTTGTTTTCATCATTCACTTCAGAGTTTGCATTTTCTCCATGGTAGTTTGAAACCCATAGAAAGCCCGAGCATGAGAATCCAGAGAAGGGATTGTGTTAGATTAATACAGAAAGTGCAGGGTTTCATGTTATATCATGCCATAGAAAAAAGAATCACTCACCTCTTGAGTTTTGAAAGCAAAAGCAGTTCCCTTTTTTTTTCTAATTATAAGTAACGCCTCTAACGACGATGAGTTAACGATGAGTTAACGTTTGATTAATTAAAGTCTAATTTTGCGTAATCAATAATGATTTCGTGAATAATTCTGCATAAGTTGTAGTTGGGTATTAAAAGTGCTAATTTAAAATAGTTTAGGAATTAAAAAACCTTTTTCCCCAAAATCTAAACTAATAAAGTGAAACGACAACCTCTTACACACGTGTGATAACCGGCAACCGGGAACTGACAAAAAGTTCCAAAAAAGTTATTACATCACGAAAAGAAATAACGCAAGCACGCATGACGAAAACTGAAACGAAACGGACAACCTCCTACGTAGGTCTCCCAGTCATATTAGATCACTGAACGGTCAAAGATCAAGATGACTAAAATAATCCAACGGTTAATCTAAACATCTTCTCTAACTATTATTACAGAATGTCAGTGAAAATAAAATCACAGATACATTACCAAAGCTAGAAACTCTAGCTCGATTTATTTCCCTCTCATTCTTCTCCTCTGTCTCTCTCATTTCGGAAACCCTAATCTGTCGAAGCAATCTCGAAGCGTGTACGATCTCCAACTCAGGTTTTCTCTTCTCAAAATTTTCAGTAACCTTTCGAGGCTTGAGTTTGCTTAGTTGTTAATTGTGTACATCTCTGAATCTCCGATAAATGATGGTTTCTCTATGCATGTGTGTAATTCGTCTTTGATTTTCACAGATCTTGTGTTCATTAGATTTACAGTCAATGGAAGGCAGTTACGGAAGCTACACTGACAAGACAAGAGTGTACGATATCAAACCGTTACGAACTCTAAAACCTGTGTTCCCAAGCGGGAACCAAGCTCCTCCACCTTTTGTCTGCTCACCTCCTTTCGGTCCTTTCCCTCCTGGCTTCTCCCCTTTCTATCCCTTTACCTCTTCCTCCTCTCAACCACACACTACTCCAGATCTCAACCACATCTCAAAGCCTCCCTTGGTTACTCCTCTGAGATCATTCAGGTCTCCTGATAGCAACATTGAGTCTCAAGAGGGTCCAACAGTGAAGAGAAAGACCCCTAAAAAGCAGCGTACTCCTCCTGAGAATGTGAACTTCGAGAGTGGGATCAGCGTTTCTGAACGAGAGTACGGGAATAGGAAACTTGTGATGAGTGTTCTTAGGCGTTACGAGGCGCTGAGGAGAAGGTTTTCACAGCTGGAAGACGCAAGAGAAGCTGTAAGCGGGATCAACAAACGCGCTGATCTAAAAGCTGGTTCCACTTGCATGAGCAGAGGTGTACGGACAAACACTAAAAAGAGACCAGGTGTTGTCCCCGGTGTTGAGATTGGTGACATATTCTTCTTCAGGTTTGAGATGTGTTTGGTCGGGTTACACTCTCCATCGATGGCTGGTATTGACTATCTCAAGGGAGAAACTGAAGAAGAGCCAACCATCGCCACTAGCATTGTCTCCTCTGGTTACTACGATAACGACGAAGGTGATCCTGATGTTTTGGTTTATACTGGTCAAGGTGGTGGTAATGCTGATAAAGAGAAGCAAACGTCTGATCAAAAGCTTGAGAGAGGTAACCTCGCGTTGGAGAAGAGTTTGGTTAAGAATAGTCCGGTTCGGGTTATAAGAGGGTTGAAAGAAGCTTCTCAGAGTGGTAAGATTTATGTATATGATGGTCTCTATGAGGTGAAAGAGTCATGGGCTGAGAAAGGGAAGTTAGGACATAACACGTTCAAGTATAAACTAGTGAGAGCTCCAGGTCAGCCTCCTGCTTTTGCTACATGGACTAAGATACAAAAGTGGAAAGCTGGTTTGTCTTCTTCAAGGGAAGGACTTATACTTAGTGATCTCACTTCCGGTGTTGAAAGCTTAGGTGTTTCGCTTGTGAATGAAGTTGATGATGAGAATGGTCCTGCTTATTTCACATACTCCAAGACAGTGACTTACTCTGAGTCTTTTAAGCTGACGCAGCCTTCTTTTGGATGTGATTGTATTAGCAGCTCGTGTAAACCAGGGAACTTGAACTGTCACTGCATAAGAAAAAACGGAGGTGATTATCCTTATGTTGGTAATGGGGTTTTAGTTAGCCGCAAGGGTATGGTATATGAATGCAGCCCGTCTTGTCCTTGCTCGGCTTGTAAAAACAAGGTGACTCAAATGGGAATAAAACTGAAGCTTGAAGTGTTCAAGACGGTGAATAGAGGATGGAGCTTGCGGTCGTGGGATCCTATTCGTGCTGGTTCGTTTATATGTATATACGCAGGTGAGGCTAAAGAGAAGTCGTCCAATGTGGAGGAGGAGCAAACTGATGATTATGCTTTTGATACGACACATGTGTATACCGCTTTTAAATGGAACTATGAGCTTGGGTTAGCAGATGAAGTTGATTCTGAAGAGGTATCTGAAGAACCTGAAATGCCTCTGCCTATGGTGATCAGTGGTAAGGATGTTGGGAACGTTGCTCGGTTCATGAACCATAGTTGCTCACCTAATGTTTTCTGGCAACCGGTTAGTTATGAGAGTAACGGTCAGCTCTTCTTGCATGTTGCCTTCTTTGCCGTTTCTCATATCCCTCCCATGACTGAGTTGACTTATGACTATGGAGTTACTCGACCAAGTGAAGCTCAAAATGACAATACTTTACATGGTCTGAAGAAGTGCTTTTGTGGATCAGAGTGTTGCCGTGGTTCATTTGGTTAATGAAGCGACCCCAAAGAAATGGTTAGTAATCTCTTTCTTGTTTGTTATTTATCTAATGAATCTATATAGATGTGTGTATATGACTAAAAGATGGAACTTCTGGACTTGTTTATCTGGCAGGGATCTTTTGAATTACTGCTTTTGGTAGCAACTAAAAGTTTTAAGTCTCTGTCTGATATAACTCGGCAACAGCATAAGATGGAAGCTGTGAAGTATGTTTTTTTCTGCTTCTTCAACAAAACCTTGTCTATTTCTCGGAATGTGGAAGATGTGTTCTCATGTTTTTTTTCCTGTTGGATATGTAATCTTATTAGTTAGTGTTCAGATCGTTTTTAGGATAAACCTTTGGAAATTCGTGTATCTTGTTTTAAGATTATCTAAATGGTACAAGTCAGTTTCTTATTTTCTTCCAGTTCAAAATTTTGTAATCTTTGTTTAAACCAAGTAGGGAAAATAAAATAAAAAATGTAATGAAAAAATATAGAATACAATATTCAAAAAGCTCAACTAGATGTTTTATAGAAGACTAATGACTAGGCGAATTTTCCAGGCTATAGAGGTTAACTAATTATTGATTTATGTTTATATATTTAACATTTATATCAGACATCTTGATTTTTTTGGTTTAGTTATAAAATTATGTTGATGAACTAAAATAATAGATAAAAAATAGATCTGCATTAACATTATTGATTAATTAACATATCTAGACTAATTTAGACCGATTTGAATCATCCCCTATATATTAATTGAGAAACATTTGAAAAGATGGAACCTCAAGTTTGTATTAATTAAAAAGTAACCTTGCTTAGTTGTCAATCAATTAGCATACCAATTAAACTGACGTGGCAGCTTTAGGTTCAATTGAAATTTGCTAGGGAAAAATAATTAGAGACGCATATAACGCATGTAACATAGTTTATATATTTATATATATCGCACACATGTAATGGAAGAAAAGGAAAATATAC